CCCTAACATCCAGCCCCCCAGGGGACGGCTCCTCCCCAAGGCTGGCCAGGCCCCAGCGTCTTCTCGGCATCTGCACTCTCGGGCCATCCGTGCCTGGGGGTCTAAGACCCACGGAGCTGCCTCTGCCTCCTGGTGCTGTCCCCTCAGCCTGAAGCACCCTTCCCTCTTTGGTCAGCTCCTACCATCCTTCAGGTCTCAGCGAGGCCCTTCCTGACCCCGGAGACGAGGCTCATGCACCCCACTGTGCGTTCTCAGAGCATACATCCTCATTCGCAGCACTGCTCAGTACAGGTGGCCTTCTGGTGGGCCCCAAGCCCCCCAGGACAGGGGCCGCACGTGGCCCTGTTCACAGCTGCTTCCTCTGGCCAGTGAGCCGAGGCTGGGTGACCACCAAGCAAACGGCTAAAGACAAGCAAGAAGAAATCAACTCCGCGCAAGGGCATCGCAGACCTGTGGGGGAGGGAGGGGACAACTCGTCCATTTGGGGACTCAGGTCTTTCTGTGGTTCCAGATTCTCAGTGATCCACGAAGAGTGTGAGCGGGGAGGAGGCTCCCCCAGTCCACCGAAAGCCACAGCCCACGCTGTTCCTCCCATGACCGAGGCTTGAAGCACAGGGACCAGCCTAGCCCAGACTCTTCATTCCCAAGTGCAGGAGTCAGGGGGAGGGTCCCGGGGGCCACCATTTATTGACTTGTGTGACCCTAAGCAACTGACCTCACCCTCAAGAGCCTCAGCTTCACTGTCTGTTCATGAACAAAGCATGTCAGTTTGGGATGCTGCCTGGGCACGAGGTGAGAGCCCTGGAATGGTCTGTCCACGCCCCCCACACCCCCACTGCTCCCAGGCCTCAGCCCAGCGGCCTCCCTGAGCCTTGGTGGTGGGCTGGGGCTGCCAGACCTCACTGCTGCCTTTCATCCCAGACAGGAAGGCTCGGATAAGAGACGACGGGAGGATCTGAACAGATGTCTGAGAGCCACAGGGGGCTGGGAACGAGGCGACCTCCGTCTCCTCCCCTGCCCCTCACCCCATTTCCTCCAGGGGACCCTGGGCTAGAGCTGGCCGCCCACTCTCCCCTCCCATGAGCCTTCAAGGAGAGGGAGCAGTGGGGGACGGAGCCAGCAGAGGAAGCCTAAGGACCAGGAGGAGAGGCTGTCAGACAGCCTCCACCGGGGACACCAGCCACCCCAGACCTCTCCTTCCCCCGCTATTGTGCAAGCCATGGCTTAGCCTGGTGCAAACCTAAGTCACAGGAAATCAGAAAGAGGCCAGATCTGGGGCTGCTGGGCCCCTGGCGCCCCTTGTGCGTAAACAGAGCCCGGGGTCAGGATGTCTTTGAGGAGGCAGGGTGGCCGGGACCAGCATTTCCCAATCCCCGCAGGAGGGCCCACCCGCAGGGAGCCTCGGCCCTGAGCCGCCTCAGCAGCCATGCTGCTCACACATGAGGACTGCCATGGCTCCGACCCGGGCTCGTGAACCCAAACAGCTGCTCAGGAGGTGGCAACTCTCATCCGCCCAGTACAGGAGAAGAAACCGAGGCTGAGGGAGGGGACGCTGCTGGCCCAGTGAGTGGCTCTGCTGGGACTAAGTCCAAAGCCCCTTTTCGTGATTTCTACCCTATTCTGTCTCCCAGAGCAGGCAAAAGAGAACGTTGAGCTGGGCCCAGAGCACAGGACAGAGGAGGTGACCCTGTCACTCATTCATTGATTTGTTCATTCTTTGCTCACTGGACAAACACTTCTGGACTCTCTCTTGTATTCCTGATTTTCGGTGACAAAACAGAAAGAATGCTCACGGAGGGTAAGACACAGCAGGGAGCCGGGCGCGGTGGCTCACGCCTGTAATCCCAGCACTTTGGGAGGCCGAGGCGGGTGGATCACGAGGTCAAGAGATCGAGACCATCCTGGTCAACACGGTGAAACCCCATCTCTACTAAAACTACAAAAAATTAGCTGGGCATGGTGGCGCGTGCCTGTAATCCCAGCTACTCGGGAGGCTGAGGCAGGAGAATTGCCTGAACCCAGGAGGCGGAGGTTGCGGTGAGCCGAGATCGCGCCATTGCACTCCAGCCTGGGTAACACGAGCGAAACTCCATCTCAAAGAAAAAAAAAAAAAAAAAAAAAAAAAGACACAGCAGGGAGAGTGTGTGTGTGTGTGTGTGTGTGTGTGTGTGTGTGTGTGTGTGTGTGTGTGTGTGTGTGTGTGTGTGTGTGTGTGTCTGTGCATGCCTTTGTTCTGCATTGACTGCGTGGAGGCTCTTAGGTTCCTTGCTTTTAGAAGGATCAGAGCCACTCTGCTTCTAAAGTTCTAGGCAGAGTTCAACGAGGTCCCACAGCTCAGCATAGGGCCTGGCACACAGTAGATGCTCAGTAAACAGGAACTGCCCCCAATCCAAAAACTTGGCTGTTTCTCCCACCTTCCTCCAACCTGGTTTGTGCCTGGCTGAGCCCCTTCCTTGGCCCCTGGGTTCCCAGGACACATGTGACACCCTTTGTCATGGAGCACGTGTCTCCTCCGCAACTCCCCACCCTGTCCCAGATTCCTTCCCTGTTGCCTTGGGGTCCTGCCAGCTCCATCCAGACAACTCCCCTAGCCTCCCCCCTCCCCTGGTTTCCTGTCCCCTCCCCCTTTGTCCCATCCAGAAACCCCACCTAGTGATCCAGATAGGCCGAGAGAAGGTGACGTGGCCCCAGAAGAAGGGAGCTTCTGGGGTGGCGGCCAGTACCTGTGTGCTTTGCAGAGGGGGTTCACAGTCCTCCCCCTACCCCACTCCAATGTCACTTTCCAGCCCTCCCCAGGACACTGTCACCAGGCTGCGGTGGAGCCAACACAGTTGATAGGTGGTGGAACTCACATCAAAGACTTTATGCTCTGACCTCTGACGTCCATGAACGTCCGTGCTCAGATGGACCCTTAGCAGCTGTGTGCCTTTGGGTAAAACAACCTCTCTGAGCCTCAGTTTTCTCATCTGAAACATAGGACACAGTCCCATCATCTCTAATCCAAACTCCCAGGCTCCAGATGTGTTTGGGAATTGAGAGCTTTTCTTTTATTTTTGAGACAGTTTTGCTCTTACTGCCCAGGCTGGAGTGCAATGGCATGATCTTGGCTCACCGCAACCTCCGCCTCCTGGGTTCAAGCGATTCTCCTGCCTCAGCCTCCCAAGTAGCTGGGATTACAGGCATGCGCCACCACACCCAGCTAATTTTGTATTTTTAGTAGAGACGAGATTTCTCCATGTTGGTCAGGCTGGTTTCAAACTCCCAACCTCACGTGATTCGACCACCTTGGCCTCCCAAAGTGTTGGGATTACAGGCGTGAGCCACCCTGCCTGGCCTGAGAGCTTTTCAGAGTTTAGAAAGTTGATGCAGGCCTTATACCAAATATTGTGCTAATACCCCCAGTGGGGTCTGGGGCTGCAGGCTGTACTCAAATGAGATTTCAGCAGCAAAACCAATGAATATTCATTCTCACTAGGATAAACATAGCTTATAAATAGCCTCAGGTCAGCTTTAGCAGCCAAAATGAGTTATAAAAATAATTTGAGTTTTCAAAGCTTCGGGAGACTGACCTCAGAGATAAGGGGGTATAACCAGTGATACCAGCCCCTCCCGAAAGGGCAGTGGGGACTGCAGCAGAAAGACACTTAGCGCATACCCAGCCACAGAGGACATGGGAATCGGGCTGAACTTGGAGGGAGGAGAGAGCATTCCAGCTCCCTGCAGTGGGGGCAGGGGCTGAGAACCAGGGCTGGGTCCAGGCTCCTGGAGATCTAAGGGCTCCCGCACCTCTGCAAGTCATGAGCAGGGCAGAGAGGCCATGCCGCCCATAGCAGCTACCAAGCAGCAGGAAGACACTTGATCCTCCTGCCCCGAGGGCTAAACTTTGCCTGTGTAGTGATGACCGTCACAGCTCCCATCTTCCAGAACCCACCCAAGGACTGCAGGCAGCCTCAGGTCCACTGAGTAGCTGAAGTTGACCAGAAGACCCAAGATCAGGAGCCCCTGCCCTAGAGGGTGACCAACCCACCCCCTGGTGTGTCATCTCCTCGACAGTTCCGGTCTAGGATGGAAAAGCATTAAGGGCACTGTAAATGCAACCTAGAACCCCAGCTCCGCCAGGGACTCCGGCCCCTCCCGCCCACGGGGCACTCCTCAGTCTATCCTCCTGGCTACCAAGGGGTACAGGTCCTGTTTTTCTTTCCTTCTTTTTTTTCCTTTCTTCATTCTTTCTTTTTATTAAGAGAGAGGGTCTCACTCTGTAGCCCAGGCTGGAGTGCAGTGGCACCATCATAGCTCACTGCAGCCTCGACCTCCCAGTCTCAAGTGATCCTCCTGCCTCAGCCTCCTGAGTAGCTGGGACCATAGGTGTGCACCACCACACCCAGCTATTTCTCTTTTCTTTTTATTTTTTCTTTTCTTCTTTTTTCTTCTTTCTTAGACGGAATCTAGCTCTGTTGTCCAGGCTGGAGTGCAGTGGTATCATCCCAGCTCACAGCAACCTCTGTCTCCCAGATTCAAGCGATTCTCTTGCTCCATCCTCCCGAGTACCTGGGACTACAGGTAGGTACCACCACACCTGGCTAATTTTTCTATTTTTAGTAGAAACGGGTTTCACCATGTTGGCCAGGCTGGTCTGGAACTCCTGCCATCAGGTGATCTGCCCACCTCTGCTTCCCAAAGTGCTGGGATTATAGAGGTAAGCCACTGCTCCCGGCCTATGTTTCTTTATTTTTTGTAAAGCTGGGATTTCACTACTTTGCCCAAGCTGATCTTGAACTTCTGGGCTCAAGCAACCCTCCCGGCTCGGCCTCCCAAAGTGCTGGGAATTCAGGAGTGAGCCATGGTGCCCAGCCTAGTTCCTATTTCTGAGCCCCCACCCCCTCCCATATCTGGGTCCTGCGCCGCAACGCCAGGCCGCACAGCAGCTCAGGCCCCAGCCTCGGGCCCCCAATGGGGTGGGGACAGGGGGTGCGGTGGCGGTGCCCCCAGCCCGCGCTTACCCAGGTTGAGGGTGATGTTGACCGAGTTGGGGTACTGCACGCCGAAGGCCATGGACGGGCTCTGCCACCAGGTGCTTTCGTCCTCGCTGTGGAAGTCGGTGAGGTAGGAGGCGTTGTGGTGGCGCTGGGGGTCGGCGGCGTCGCAGCGCTGGCACTGCGTCCCCGCGCCCGCGGCGCCCACGTGGGGGCAGAAGTCCTCGGGCGGGTTGCCGCACGTGTGCGAGGCCTCGACGCGCCGGCCGAACGCCGCGTTCTCGAACACCGGCAGGCAGCGCTGCGGGCGCCCCGCGCCGTCGTAGCACGAGCCCATGCCCGCGCCGGCCGCCCGCGGTGCCAGCAGCGCCAGTGCCAGTCCCAGCAGGAGCGCGGCCGCTGCCATGGTCAAGGGCACCGACGCCGCGCGCTCTGCCTGCCCCGCTCGGCTCGGGTGGGCGCGGACCGCGCGGGGCCCCCAGGACCCGCCTTCCCGGGCGGGCGGGACCGCGGCGGGGCGGGGAGGCTGGAGGGAGGCGCGGCCGGCGGCGGCCCCACCCGACCTAAAATACAGGGAACCGCGGCGTCCCCGGGCGCCCACCCCACCTGCTGGACGTGCCCGGCAGTGCGCGCTCAGGAGTCCGCCCGGAGGCGGCTCCGGCCTCTTGGAGCCTCAGTTTCCTCGTCTGTGGAGTGGGGTCAGTAAAGACGCAGCCTTATTACCGCGGTTCAGAGGCTTCAATGCTGCTCATTAAACAGAAACTGCTCACCGGTGCCTCGGAAGTCCCGCGATAAAAGGGGACACGAGGATCTCTACCTGATCGCTACGGTTTGCGTGTCTCCTCCTGGCAATAAAGCGCGCCCTGGACAGGGTGTGAGATGGCTCCGCACGGCTCCTGCCGCCCTTCACCCTGAGAAGCACGCCTGCTGCCGGCTGCTCTCTGCTCTCACGGCAAAGAGATTCTAACCTGCTATTTGTGACAGGGGTACCCGGTCTTGTCACAAATGTCACCCCGGAGAGGCCTTCCTTGTCTTCTGCCCCGGCCCCCATAAATGCCCCCTTTACTCCGCATTAATTCACATTAGTAAATCGAAGGAGAAAAGTCATTCGATAAAATGTAGCAGCCAGGCCGTGCGCCGGTGGCTCACGCCTGTGATCCTAGCACTTTGGGAGGTGGAGGCAGGAGGATAACTTGAGGCCAGGAGTTCAAGACCAATTTGAGCAAAATAGTGAGACCCTATCGCTGTAAAAAAAATAAAAAACTTAGCTCGGCGTCCTGGCAAAAGCCTGTAGTCCCAGCTACCTGGGAGGCCGAGGTGGAAGGATCCCTTGAGCTGGGGAGGTCAGGCTGCAGTGAGCTGTGATTGTACCACGGCACTCCAGCCTGGCCAACAGAGTCAGACCCTGTCTCAGGGGAAA